GTTCCTTTTTCTTCTCTTCCATTGTTCGCAATTATCCTTCCTAAAATTTCCTAATTCAGCAAGATACCAAGAATACTTACCATCATACAATTTTCACTGATTTCTTTTTTTTTTTGTGAAAATATGCGAGATAAATCTTTTTATAACCTATGTCAGTTCTTTTTTATAATATTTCATACAAGTGGATTCTTTTTCTCTTCTTCCGCGAATGTGGCGAATATTTTACGTAAACCGTGGGACGTATATTAAAGTTTTGGCGAATAGAAATTGGATTAGAAAACTACAGACAGAAATTAGACGATTATTACAGAAGTAATCTTTGTTTCTTTCAGATTGTAGTACTTTGCTACGTAGGAGTCTGTTATTTCTGCTTCGATAACATTTTCTGCATCATGGCCATACACTTGACTGGCCAATTTCGCATACTTCAGTACAGATTTTCAGAAATGTGCGACATAGAGAATCGGATGAGCGAAAAAGATGAGAAATCAATGCAGACGAGGCATGTATACAGGATCTACGAGACATTTAAAAAATACGTACGACAGCACCAGGCATTGATCAATTATTGCAAAGAACTAGAAAACGTGTATACGATGATTACACTTGGACAAGTGTTAGTATTTAGTATATTAATTTGCCTGTTTGGTTATCAAGTGTTGTTGGTTAGTATTTGATGTATATTACATTTATTACGAATTTCCACACACCGACGCGAAAACGAATTAATTTTGAATGACATTCCCGTCAAGTGCATTCTTAAGACCCGATGAAATTTTAATCGTGGGATATTACACAACGTGATAGAGTAGAATTTGATAAAAATATTCCGATACAAATATGTTTTCTGTATTTTTAAGTACTGTTTTCCTCTTAGGCCAAAGCAAGCGCTGCACGACGTTCCATTTTCGTCTTTCTTTTAATCGGTGCGATGTCGTTATTGTTTATGTTCACCTATAGCTGCGATGGCGTGATAGAACATAGCGATAACGTTGCTACTGGATCGTACTCAGCGCTGTGGACAATTATGCCAATCGACAAATATGGGAAGATGCTTCGAAATGGTACTGTAATGGTAATAAAGCGCTCTAGACGAGTCTGCTGTCTGACCGCGTACGGATTTTTCCCTGTCTCGCTGGAGACTTATACTACAGTCGGTATAATACTTGAAACAAACGCAATACATATATTACTGTGCGTTAACACCAAACAAACAAATGTCCCGACAAATCCACGCTTGTTTATTACACTAACAGCCTTTAATCCTTACATTGCCGATATTTCGGCTTTAAGTGCTTATGCGAAAATCATTATGGGCCAATAATATTCTGCTTCGTCGAGTATGAGACAGTTATAATTTTCAAAAAAAAATTTTCTAAGAAAAGAAATGATGAACTTGGAC